GGTTATACATATTAAATTTTTCAAGGGTTTGTATACTTCTGTTGTTTCTTATAGAAGGGATGTCTTCATGTGTTTGCAAGCATGTGTATCATTCTGGCATCATTCATCTTGGAGCCAGATTGGCTCTGTAATCAGGGCCAAAGTAGGTAAGGAGACAGATATACCTTTTTTGTTAATTTCACATATTTACTACTTCCTCATTTAAAAATAAGGCTCAGCTAGGAGTATTGAACTTTGCAGTAGCCCTTTTAACTTAAGACAGTGTCTGGAGCAATCAAGTTCTGGGAGATTAAACATGGGACAAAGGAAGAATTCAGCAAATTCTGTCCTTTCCAAGGACTTTATGTATGAATGGAAAGGACACCTTAATCAATAGTGGTCTCCTCGGAGTTAGTCTGGCCTTCACTGGGCAATCTAATTTTCCCTGTGTGTAGCACATGGAATAACTTCTTAGAAAATGTCTTAAAAGTCGTAGTACTATATATGGATCTGTCATCAAGTACATATATATGTGGAAAAATGATATGTTGTCTTTGGGGGGAAAAGTCACCTGTTTTCAGCTTTTAAACTATGCATAACTGAAATAAATATTCTGATTAGAGTAACACCACTGGAATTGACATAATGGTTTATTTCCCATTTGTACATAATGGAAACAAATGCTGGACTGAAAGGCCTTTGGGTTCGGTTCTGTATTGAGCTTCACTTGTGCCTGGTAGTCTTCTCTTTCTCACAGCAGCTAGTCCCAATGTGTACATTTTCCTTTCATAGTATGGCAAACATATTTTTAAAATTGAAAAAAAAAATAAAGTTCTGTTTTTAGTGTTTTTCATCTATTGTTTAGATTATATTGTATTTACTCTTCTTTTAAAAATTAAGCCAAATTTGATGGTAAATGAAAAATATCTATTGCTGCTTTGATCAGGATTAAACCCGGGCTTTGGGAACAAGAGTACCTTATTCGTAACAGCAACACTGATAGACAGAACATCAGTCTTACTCCAGTGAAGATTTCCACAGGCTGCTAAATGAGAGCAGGCATTTAGTTGAGCTTTGAAGGAAACAATATTAACATAGGATGGTGATGGCATAGTTGAAAAAATTGGAAAGTTGATGCAGGAGATTCATATCAGGCAGTCATGCGGTGTGTATGTCTTCTAAATCTTAAATTCAGCTTTGTCAGCTCCTCAGATATCCTCCAGTTTCCTTTTCTGATATTTTATCTTATATGATCCTTCCTGCTCCCTCAAAGATTGAGATGGAGATGCTAAGTCACTTAGCGGTTTGTATAACTTCAGAAGTGGGAAGTGAAGACATCTGTTTCTGACTAAGGTCTTGACCATGTATCTGTGAGAAATCATGTTAGTCATTGAAGGTACAGCTTTCATATCACCAGATACAAATTCGTGTTAGATTGTTGTGCTTTTATCTGAATTTTACTAACTTTGAATAAGTAAATGTTAATAATATATGAAATGTTTTATTTTGGGGTTTTTTTTAACAAAAAACCTGCAGATAAGCATGACATAGGTATTGGAGAAGGTATTAGATAACTGCATTAGTGAAATTGTTTTATTGATATTAGGGAATGATCTGATCAAATAATAAAACTTAGAAGAAATTATTTTTTCACTTGATGATATTGTTCTTATAAAGAAAATGCAAAAGGTTGGATCCAACATAGAGGATAAAGGAAAAAAGATTTTTAGCACAGGCACTTGTACAGTGATATATTCATTCCATGGCCTACTTCCATATATATAAAAAATGACAAAAACTGAACACGGTTGAATTTAACTTCACTAAGTAATGAGGTGTGTAAACTGACATCTGAACAGAGAAGCCTTATTTATCCTGAAGAAAATATTTGGATAATATTTAGAAAATATTTAATATTTGGATAATATTTGGAAAATATTTAAGCCAATCTTAAAATACTGGCTGAATAACAATTCATCTTTATTTTAATTTTTACAATGATCATATTACTATAAGACTTTGTCCACGGTGCCCATCTACAGAAAGTTGAATTGACGAGCTGTTATAAAGCAAAAAGATTTTCTTCTTCAAATGAGAACAAAAACATTTTTTTTAAATGGTACTGAGGAACTAATCTGGACTTGTGTATAAACAAGTTTCAAATCCATTTGCATATGTGGGCTATTGTGAGAAGGAAACTTGTATAAGAAACAGCATGTGTCATTCTTAAACACTTAACTCAGTGAAGAACTGAAAACTGTGACACCATTACAAGGACAGAAAGCAGACTGCTGAAATCCACAGAGATTAGCAGCCTTAGTGCACAGAAACATGCTTGAGAAAAGCCATGTATGGCCATGTTGCAGCAGGAGCTGCTATGATTGGCTGCTGTCACTCGGTTTTTGCCAGAGTAGACAACAGGTGCAGAGTTGCTGACAGGTGTGAATGTCTAGAATACGTAAGATTGCTGATGCCTAGTGATGTAGCCTTATGTCAGATTGTGAAGTGCTGAGCTCTCATGGAACAAGAATCCAACTTGCATGTTTTTCAGATCAGTTGAAGTGTACTCATTCACCCCTTTCTCTCCTCTCTTCCTGGGCTCTTGGTAAACGCCTACCGCAGATGACTAAACTTAATCTCTACTAGGGCCTCAGGACACTGAAGCCTGAGTAAATTTGTAGAAGAGTTGTATATCTACCATTCTTTCCATTTGGATTTTACTTAATTAAGTGGTGTATAGACTGGATTGTCTGAAATACATCTTTTTCCAATCTGGCACCTTCCACAAACTGTCATAGTTCTTTTAGTCTGTACTTAGACAGTTTCATGTTTTACTTGGTACATGCTTCTCACATTCCATATTCCAGTTGCATGTGTTCTTGTGAAATAAGATGTTCTTCTTATGTTCTAAGACGTACAAGTGCCATCAGTGATCAGACTTCTTGTAGTTTTTTTCTGGCTCTGTCATTATTTCAAGATCTACTTTTAAAAGTTCAACAGTCTTCCCCAATAAATGGATGCGGTTTTGCTCCGCATATGGAAGGCTTCTCACTGGGTGGTCGAA